TAGAAATGTGGCTCTTTGTTGAGAAATGCTGCTCTAGTTAAAGGACTATATCCTTCATGTTTTCTGAGCCTGTCTTGTGATAATCACAGAGCTTTCCTATACACTCCTCTAACAGTGAGTATTGTCTGTGAGTTCTAATTGGCTCTTGCAATGGATTATCAAGCCCCAAAGGCAGAGTGTTGTGGTAGGAATGGTATCTGAATGAAATAAATGCAAACAAAAGCCAAACATTCTCATCAAAGCCATTCTAACTCTTAGAGATGCTATAGAACATGGTCAAACTGCCTCTGTGGGTTTTAGAGACTTTAACAGAGACTGTAACTCTTTATAGGAGAAGAAATTCTCCTCTTTCTCCTGAGGAAGAGCTAGCAGCTTCAAACTGCTGACCCTGTGGTTAACAGCCCAGTGCATGACTCATTATGCCACTAGGGCTTCAGGATGGAGGCTGGAAACATATCTGCGACTGCTTTGTGGCAATTGGCCTTGAAGTGATGTAGAGTTGTACTTTTCTTCTTCATACTAAAGTCAGGGAAAGTCACATGTCGCCTCTGTGCTGTTTTCTCAACAGCCAACTAAAACTAATATATGAAGGGCATGTTATATTCAGTACTCTAGAGAAGCGAACTGTGTCTCCATACTGGAAGACATTTATATCAAAAAAGAGCTTACCAAGTTTTAGAAGCAGGTAAATCTAGTTTATTTCAAGTCCACATAGATTGGAGGTTTCTCCTGACTTGTGTATTTGCAGGAGCGCAGGAACTGGAAGCAGGAAGATGAATCCAGAGGGCCATGGCTGGCGGATGTAGAGCTCAGCAAAACTAATGTGGGCAATCTGCTGATGCTCCTGGGATCTTTGGGTAATATAACAGGATATCCATATGCCAGATGTGGGGTCCAGTTCCAGCAGAGTGCAAAGGGATTAGAAAGCCTGATGTGGCTTACTGATCACTTTGCATTTGTGTTGTTTCATTAAAAACAACACAAAACAGAATTGGGATCATGATAGTGGCGGTGGGGAGGAAGCATTCAAGAACTAGAGGAAAATTATGTTTCACTATTGCTACACTGTACCCTGACTGGCTCCTCTCCTCCTCACGACCCTTTTGCAAGGGGATGTCCAATTGCCCACAGATGATCCCCACTCTGCACTCCCCCTCATTCACAATGCTTTGATTTTTTTGGTCTTTGATGCCTGATACCTGATCCCTTTGACACCTTGTGATCTCACAGGCTAGTGTGCTTCTTCTATGTGGACTTTGTTATTTCTCGGTTAGATGGTCACTTGTTTTTCTTTAAACCTATAAGACCCAGATTCTATATCTTTTGATAGCCGGGCACCATCAGCTTTCTTCACCATATTTGATTATGCACCCGCTTTGTCTTCAGCGATTGTGTCAGGACAGGCTGGTGTGCTTCTTCCATGACTGGACAAGAGATGTACATTGGTACAGATAGGAACTGGAAACACAGGGAATCCAGTACAGATGAACCCCTGAGGACCAGTGGTGAGAGTGGCAACACAGGCAGGGTGGAGGAAAGTTGAGGGAGAAAGGGGGAACAGATTACAAGGATCTACATATAACCTCCTCCCTGGGGGATGGACAGCAGAAAAGTGGGTGAAGGGAGACGTCGGACGGTGTAAAATATAACAAAATAATAATAGTTTATAGATTAACCAGGGTTCATGGGGGAGGGGAGAGTGGAGAGTGGGGAGGGAGGAGAAAAATGAGGAGCTGATACCAAGGGCTTAAGTAGAAAGCAAATGTTTTGAGAATGATGAGGGAAACAAATGTACAAAAGTGCTTGACCCAATGGATGTATGTGTGGATTGTGATAAGAGTTATACAAGACCCCAATAAAATGATTTAATTATTTAAAAAAACACAAAACAAAAAAACCTCTTGCCATTAAGTCGATGCCGACTCACAGAATTTCATCACAAAAGGAATGGTTATTCTTCTTGGGGAAGGGACTATCACAGGTAGGCATCTGGCAAATATGTTTGATGTCCTGCTCCACTATTCCAGATGTGGTATTTAAATGCAACATGAGGTATTGTCAAGAGGATGTATAATTCCTTATTGTGCAAAAAGAAAATTCAAATTTATTATATTACTAAGATGATCTTACCTAGGGAAAAGAGCCCTAGTGATGCATGGGTTGAGCATGAGTCTACTAACTGAAAATTTGTCTTGGTCTGTTTAATTTGAGAGAACATTTAGTAAAAGTCTTAAACAGGACAATGACAAGGACGCGTCATCTGGATGAAAGAGACCATAAGGTTGAGGTCAGAATGGTGTCAAAGGGTTTGCTGACAACTGCCACAAAAGCATGATGGGTGGCAGATCGGTATACCACAGTTAGAGGTAGGACTACAGAAGAGGAACTGGGCCATGATTGGGACACACACATCTTGTTAGACAGAAGAGTTTACAAAATTTGTCCAGGATCTTCCAACGAAGGCAATCAGGACATGGTTCATGACTATGAGACACGAGGATGGCAGTCTCCGTCAATGATGCACCCATGCAAGCCCCTACAGGAGACTGTTTCTCTCTGAGCTGGTTAGAGGTAGTGTACCTCCTAATGCACTCTGACTGAGGACAAGATTTCTCATCTTTCTGGTTAATGATCAGAAGGAATGCAATGGAAGTTATTTTTGTGAGAACTCGATAAATGCATTTGGGGCCTGCAAGGTTGTCCAAAGCCTTCTGCAAACCTAGTACACAGAATTTAAGCTCAAACATGTAGGGTAGAGAAGCTTTTGGTCTCCAGACTGGCTTGCTCTCACCCCAAAATATTAAATAAGGACTCTTCAAAATGTCATGGAAAAATTAAATGAAATGATAATTAAAAACAATCGTTTTGAAAACCCACTCCTATCTTGGAGGAGGCATCAGTAAAATGGTTTATTGGAATCTCAGCAAAATAGCTATAACTTTGCTCTGCACCAATATGTGCAGCCAATTAGGAAGGTATTAAACTTTAGACACATTTTTTACAGATTATGCAATCTGAAGCACCATTTAGGATTTGAGTTAAAATGCTGTGGCCAGCAGATGCACTAGTTGCAAATTCAACCCTATCAATCACCTCATGAGAGTAAGGTGAGGCTCTCCACTCGTGTGAAGATTCCCCTTCTCTGAAACCCAAGCGAGCAGGACTACTCTCGTCTACAGGGTTACTGTGAGTTACAATAGACATGGTGACTGGGTTTTAGCTAGGGAATTCAAAGACGTCTGTGGGGCCCCAACAGACTCCACAGTACCTTTTGCCAGATCTTCAGTTGTTAGAGATTGTAGACAGCATGCTGTCACAAAAATGATAAGCTGTGAGTTTCGCCTTTTGATGTCGAAAGTTCAGGTACAGGACATGCTGACCACTTTTGTGTATACTAGTTGGGCCAGCGCCTGCCTTCGACTGTTCTCTGACCCAGCCTTCTAGTTTGCATAAGAGGTGGTCTACTTAAACATGAAATTCTTCTTTTCATACAGATATCACAGATGAAGGCTAATTTGCTGACCAAGAAAACTAAGGTTGGCAACCTGAGTTATACACTCTAGTAAGGCAGGGAATCATGATTGATTCGACCTCAGTCCTGCCTCAATAGAATAAGATCTAACCACTCCATAATAGGATTCTATATTTAGCTATTTGTGTTCTACATCATGGAATGATTATTTTTCCTGTATAGAACACATGATAATATTAAAAATAATTCAAAACAGTATTAAAAACATATGATGAAATTTAAAAGATGCATGTATACATTCAAAATATGCATGGAATAGTTTATAGACATGTTAAAAAAAGTCCTCAATAATAAAGTAGACCCTTGATAGTATTGGATGATCTCTCATTTAAGAATTCCCCTTCATGATGTTCTTACCACAGAACAATAAAGATATGAAGAGTACATCTCACAAGCTGTGAAGAATAATGAACTCCCTGTTAAAAGATAATATTCAAAATTTACATTCTTACAAGATTTCACCCTTAGCTTGGAAGTTCAAACTTACCAGCTGCTTTATGGGAAAAAGAAGACAGTTTCCCCTGTGACTCTTTAAAGACTTTAAAGATTTGAAAGGAACAGCTCTATTCTGTGTGGTAGAGTTGAAATCGAATTGGATGGCAGTGTGTTTATATTTGGGGATAATCTCTTGGAGAACTAGAACACATTCACCTTGGGAGATTCCTGAAACTATTGGATTTCCATATAAAATGCTCTTAATCAGGAAGATACAATAATTTTGAGTAGTTACAAGAATTCTTAGAATTCTACATTCTTTTATAAAAGTGTCCTGTTGTTGCTGTAGATTTTCCAAACATTCAGGGTCAGGACACAAGGCCAGGCTAAAGGACAAAGAGGATTCAAAACCAGTAGATTAATTTACTTTTAGCCAATTATAATTAATATCACATCAATGCTGTTTACTTTCCTACTGTCATCCATGTGCATTAGCACCAGGTTAATGTGCAAACCATAAACCAAATGATAGCTAGCATAAATCCCCACTTTTGTTAGATAGCAATGTCCACTGCCCTATCATTACTTCTTGGGAATAACCTTTGATCTTCAAATCAATAGTAAAAATAATTACTGGCTTTGACCAAACTGACATTAGTCATTTCTGTTTTGAGGAGCTGCACAGCTGGAGACAGATGTGCAGGTCTCTCTGCAGAGATCCAAAGAATCTTTCCCAAGAGTTTATATCATGCTAGCCATTCATTTATCAGAGGCCAAATGCTTTTCTTTGTAAACGTGTGTAAAACATTCCCAGAATTCAAACAATAACAAATCAGGATGGAACGTGGCTGAAATGCAAAAAGAAAATCTCCCATCTGTCCAAATCAACCAGTTGGATTATCAGATAAGGGAAAATAAAAACAGGCACACACAAGCATCCAAACAGGATATTTTGAAGTATATATTCAATAATTTGTCCAAGAAAAAAATTCAGACAATATGCTAAATGCTTTAAGATAAGAAAGTGAAGATAGTTCTCGCTTGGCAGCATACATGCTAACATTGGAACGATATGGAAAAGATTAGCATGGTCCCTGCACAAGGATGACATGCAAATCCATGAAGGGTTCCATTTCTAAAAAAAGAAAAAGAAAAAAAAGTGAAGATTACTTTGAAAAACTCTAAAGGTTTTCTTAAGTAGATTAATTTAGGAAGTTACTTTTTATTACAGTTTTCTTCCTTTCACATTGTGTGCATCAGAACTATTTTAAGAAGAAATAATCAACATTAATTCACTATCTACTATGAAAATGTTATGCATAGTTTTAATATCTTTAAATGCCACTTGTTCAAGAAATACTACATATAATTAATTAAAACCTTCTTGTGGAGTTTATTAAGTGCTTCGAGCCTTTTTTTTGGCGGGGGGGGGTGCATAGATTGTTAATGTGCTTGGCAGCTACCAGAAAGGTTGGAGGTTTGAGCCTCCACAGAAGTATCTCAGAAAAAAGCTTGGAAATCTACTTCTAAAAAAAGAAAAATCAGTTCTTGAAAGTGCATGTTGAGTAGTTGTACGTGAGGTATCTATGAGGTAGAACCCATTGGAAAGTAAATTCCACTGGCATCATGTCCTAGAAATTGTCTAGGATTAAATGAGAACAAGTCAAACCTTGTCTCTACAGGCTCAGATGAAGTGTAGATCCAATTGAGAGGAGATAGGCAGCCTATGAATAAATAAACTAGTTAATCTCAAGTAGATTGATGTTGGGCAGACAATGAAACAATCAGGTGATTAAGAGGTCAGGCTGGGAGTGACTTGGTCAGGAAGACCGCCCTGAGATGGTGTCTTCTGAGATAAAGCTTAATGAAGCGGAAGTACCAGTCATGGCAAAGCTGTGGTCCAAAGCTCTCCTGGCAGGATGAGGAGCGCATGTCACGATCCTGAATGGGGAAGAGCGTGATACGTTCATGGAGCAGGGGAAAACAACCGAATTGGGGCAAGTAGACACAGGGCACCTGTCAGGTTTTCCCTGGGCCTTGTACACGGTGGATGAGAGATTCGATTTTATTTAAGCCTATTTTGTTTTTGTCTCTAGGCCTATTTCAACTCTTTTTGTTGTTGTTGTTTTATTTTCAGCAAGATGTACTGATAGTATAAAAAAGTTAAAGCTCTTTGATAAGTTAATGAATAGAAGAGAAAAATGTGTGCAACAAGCTCTCTTCTAACACACACACACACACACACACACACACTCATTTAAGTGCTTGACTGGCTCTTTTTATTTTGGAAAATAAATCTAGGAGCCGGTCAAGTTCTTTTTCTTTCTGTTTTTCCTCTATCACCTTAGGCAATTGTCAACCGTGGGCTAATAGGGAAATCACAGGTTAGATTTCACAACTGCCAAAAAACGTCTCTGGGCTGATTTTTACACTTTATTGACTTTGGCTCCTGGGTTGTGTGATTTGACAGAGCTGACTTTACTCAGGTATCACACAGACGCAGACTAAATAAATGAGCAGCAGCATTTCAGGAAATCTATTGTTTGTATCCCAGTTTTCCTTGGAGCTTATCCTCCTGCTTGCTCTCTTGATTACTGACCACCCAGAGGTCACACCTCCCTGGGAACTAGTTCATGGTTAAGATACTTTTCAAACCCCACCAATAAGTACCTAATGAAAGTAGTAGGAGTATAATAAGGAATTCATTAAATGAATAGTGGTTTATTTAGCTTTTAAGAGTCAATAGACTTTATTTTGATTAAAACCTGATGCATGATTTATAAGGACAATTAGAAAAATACAAAGAATTCTACCACCCCGAGATAGCCACAGTCAATACTTTGGTTTTCCATCTTACAGATAATATGCCTTTTTAGCGTTTTTCTAATTATCAGGTGTGTTTTTGCTTTGTTTTGCCTTGTGGTTGTTTTATTTAAATATAAAAGTGGAAGCACTGTGGTTTGTCATGCATTAATGATTAGGGTGCACATTGGACGGTCTTAAGTAAACTAAGTGCTATATGTCACACCATAGCACAGCTAAGCAGGTGTTTCAGAACTTTGAACCAATTCATTCTAGTTTGATCCTTCTAAAAACATATATTTTTATACCAGATACAGAATCAAAATCTATATTTTAACAAGCTCCCAGGTGATTCTTACAGATATTCATATGTGTTGTAGATAATGTGTTTACATGTGAATCACCTGGAGATCTTGTTACAATGTAGATTGTGATTCCATTCTATCTGGCATGGAAATTCTAAGGAGAGGATAAATCTAGAGTCAACCAGTTTTAAAGCCCTAATGTGTCTACAAGGTAAGTCAATAAAATATTAGGTATTATTAATGACAGAGAAGGCATTTTTCAGCCTTAGGTAGTTTACAGGTTAGCTTAAATATTGAAGTCACACATGGCATTTTCACATGTACATGATTTGGGATCATTGCATTTTGAGTAGACATCACAGTTAACTTTATTTGCTGTGAATATGAATTTAACTTAATTCACATTCTTCTATACCACTGAATTGTTAGCTGAGGAAATGGCCTGTTGGCTACACAAAGGGAAAGGAGAATGGAACACCGCCCCAGTGTAAGGTTGATTCCCGTAAGGCACAAGTTCGACAACTCTCCACCCTGAAACTTCCTTGACCCTACTCTGACTCCAACCTTTCCTCCCAGGCCATTCTACTTCTACGCTCTGTTTGATAATGCAAGGCCATACAGAACTCTCCAACACCCTCACAGTTATTTGGTCTTCCTAGAGAACTTCACAGGTTACAAGTCATGATCAGAAATGTTTAGGATGTAGCTATTTTGTAGGAAAAGCTGCTTCTCAGCTCTGCCAAGAGCCCGTGTCTGTCTCTGGTCCTCAACCTCTCAGACACATGGACCCTTGGCCTCTTCTCTGCTTGGGTACATGGTAAAAAGCTCTTTTAGCACTGGCACCTTACTCCGTAACTCAGCCTCCTTCTTGATCAAAGGCATTCAGCTTTTTTCCTACAGTAGGTCTACAAACCTACCGACCTACTGTCTGTCTTCATTGACTTGTTGGTGCATTTGCTATAGCTGCCACCACTTCTCTCCTGGGATCTTGAATGAGCTCAACTCATGGTTCTTCTTCCTAGGTGGTCCTGAGACCCTCTGTTTCTGCTTCTAAGATGACTCACTTTGTACTGAGAGGAATGACAAAACTGATCTAGCTCCTCATGATAAACTCATACAGCTTATTTGCATATTTCCAGCCAGTCATTTTGATGGGAGCCACAAAACTATGGACACAAAAGAAAACCAAGTAATTTCACTTTATCACAGTATCCATTGAATAACTGCAACTTAGATAACAAATATCCAACTGCCAGACCTAAAGAACCAGAAGACTTCTTGAGCAAGGATAAAGAGATTTCATCTCATGTGCTTTGGACATGTGATCAGGAGAGACCAGTCTCCCGAGAGGGTCATCATGCTTGGTAAAGTAGAGGGACAGCAAGAAAGAGGAAAACACTTGACAAAATGGTTGACGCAGTGGCTGCAAGTATGGATTCAGACATAAGAGCAATTGTGAGGATAGCATGCCATGAGGTGGTGGATTGTTGTGCTGTACATATGAGTTGGAACTGAATCAACAACATCTAACAACAGACTTGAAAAAACTTGTTCTCTACTATGTCAAAATTCTCACAAACCTTGCACTCAGAGTGTGTGACACTTCAGGGGTAACTGAAACATGAGGGATTTTCAACAGGCGTGTGGAAACCTTTTATCTTTTTCAGTCCATTTTTCCAGGAACATTTTAAAGCCCCCTTATAGAGTATTACAGTGGCCCTATAGAGTCTACCCTATAGGGCAGAGTAGACTGTAAATCTTTATGGGAGTAGAAAATCTCATCTTTCTCCTATAGAGTGGCTGGTGTTTTCAGACTGCAGGCTTCATGATTAGACCTGATAGCAGTGAGGGTTTTTATTTGTTTGTTTTATTTTTAAGTCACAGGCTCTGTAAGTGAAAACAATTGCCTATGGTGACAGAAAACACATTCCTCTGCTAGTGCTGAGATATTTCTTGTTTTAAAACCATTATAATTTAATAGATCAGTGTGTTATTGTTTTTCTTTGCTTACTTATTCTGACAAGACTATTAAATGTGCAATTAATTAATTCAAAAATATATAAATAAACCGTGGCTTCTTGTTTTATGCTTCCTGTTTTGATTCCCGTCTGGCCCAGACATTAGGGAGCTGGCAAACATAATAAGTGGATCATCCAGCTGCAGTTCTTCTCACCTTTCCCTTCTCTCAGAGCAAATGAAATGTGTGAGCTGCAGCCCATTGAGGGAATAGAATGACTTTAAACGAGGGAAAGTGGTGGCTTCCTGATCTTCAGGAAATTGAAGCAGAGCAGTGTTTCAGAACTAGTTCACCTGCTTGACACTTCCCAATGCCTTTTGCTTTTCCACCTAGATATACCGAACCATAGACTGGAGTTTGACATATGTTAATTACATGTATGTAAGGAGTTGTGTATAAGAACAATATGGTGTTCATGAAGAATCACCTGGGGGTCTTATTAAACTGGAGATTCAGTATATCTAGGATAGAAAGTCAAATTCTCAAGAGGGTTTCAAAGTGGGATGAACATGCATAGAATGCTGGAGCAAAGCCCTTGTGAGAGGGGTTGGTTTTAGATGTTTAATTGCACTGGAGATTATCATTGTGGTTGTGGCAGTTACATAATCTCCTGTCAACTTGCAAAAGGGTGAGGTCTAGCCTGTCAATCAGGTAGCAACTTGATGGCCTCATTTAGAGGCAGAAGGAGATAAATAGCTCACTGGAGGCCAGAGACACATTCTGCTTGTCTTCCTGCAGCCATGCCACAGGGAGACCTTAGTTGGAATCAGAGCCCTGGAGCTGGAGAAGCCACATGGAGACCCATGCCAGCACTGAGATGCTTCCACCACCACTGCATCTACTTGACTTTCCACCCACTGGAGCATGATCATCCTGAATTCAGCATCGTTGCATGGTTGCATGAGACTAAAGAGAAATTTATGACATATGGGGTATTGACCTTTGGGGTAATATAGGATTTGTGGTCTTGATCTGGACTGGGCTGAGATGTTTTCTTAATGCACAATTGCTCTTT